CAAGGACTCTGATCACCTAATTATCGTAATCAAAACATAAACATAAAAACATTATTTCGATTTTAAAAATGATGTTTGTCAATGTGTCTTTGAAATGATGTTGTCACGCTTGATTGTTTTTATGTGAATTAAATTCGAAAATTATCAATACAAACGTCGATATCTGTGAATTGATAAAGAGAATCTTAAATTCGTTTACCTTCGATATGTTTGATGAAACATGCCACACAGTATTGATCTCAGCCAATGGAAGGCTCTCTAAAATTATAAAAAAAACTTCCATAAATCCATAAATCACATCAATGGAAAATGTTAGAACAAATATTTCTTTACGTAATTATTGTCTTTTATATTCAAAAGTCCTACTGGGTAATATGAATATAAATGACAACACTTACGTAAAGAAATATTCGTAATGAGAACAGTCGAAGCATAGAAAGGTGGTCGAAAATTAAACAATAACATAAGCGGACAAGTGCAACAGGCCTTTAAACATGACATCTGTACATAGTATTATTTGAAGATAAAGAAAGAAGAAGAGCGTTGATGTGATAAATAGGATCTTAAACTTGTTTCTAATGTATGTAATTGCTGTTTTAACGGTGATTATAAATTAGTCACGTTTTAAACTAGATAATCTGAACTTTTGACAGCAATAACTCTCACTGTTGGTGTTTAAATAAGAATTATGGTTATACTTGAAGATAATAAATACAGCGGCGGCCAAGATAGGTTCGGAGTCATAGAAAAAGTGGGTTATCTTAATATATATAGCTTGCTGATGAAATAGTATAACGGAGTCTCGTCAATCTTCGGTCTTAAAACCAATATATTTATCCTTCCTTTCCAACTGCACTCGATCCTTCACATTTTAAGTAATCCGTCAGTAATTGTTAAAAAGGCTTCCTTGAATTAGCCCTTGTGTAGATGGCATGTTACTAATGAATGCAAATTGTTGATCTAGTTACGGTATGTAACACAAACCTGCTTCCGAATCTGTCGATATTCAATGTTTTTCTTGCTTTTAAATTCAATCATGAACCGATACCTGGCTATCAATAAAGTAGACTTTTGACAAAAATTATACAAACTTGAAACGAATTTTGTAAGGGTTTTGATCTAAAATCTAAACATACAAAGCAGCTACAAATATCTGGCAAATCAGGTTTATGCTGAGGATTTTTAATTTAAAATTTGTTTTTGAATTTCGTACGAATCATAACATGATGTTTCTTAACCGTAATAAGAATTATACTTTGTGCCTGTGAATGGGTTTTATAACGACTGGCAAGCCCACTGTCAGTATAAGATGACCGGATGGGGTGTCATGATACCGTGTCCAAATGATATGGTTTCAGTGTGGTGGTACTATAACAATGTCAGTCAGTATCTCTATCCGTCATTGTCTCTTAAAAAAATACAGGATTCCCTGGAGTATGATAGCACAAAACACCACTTCTTCTCTCATTCTTTTTTTCTTTTTATTTTCATACAATTTTATTTCTGATTTCGGTTAATCAGAAGCCGATTAGTAAATCTTTTATAAAGAAATGTTGAGACAGGGTTAGTTAAAAAATCATTCGAATGATGACACCTTTCAAACTTCACACACACCAACTTTTTGTGAAATTACCAAATACATGGAAATAACGAAATTTCTTGACCTGTGATGCTAGTGCATCTCTCAGTCTAGATGGTGTCATTTCTTTCCATCAACTTGTTTTGTCTTGGTCGCCTCTTTGATTTCAAGATTGAGGCCCAAAGACGTCTAGACGAAACAGCTGCTATTTTTAAAGTAAGAACAGCATTGAACACATCTAGATATAGAAACCCTTTTATCGGTAAAGCATTGAGAAGATACGCAAGCAGTTTATATGAAACACAGACAGACGGATGGAGGACACTACACTAATATATTGGCGTTGATTTTCCCCTGTGTTTTAGGTTAAAGGTAAGCAACTCCAGTACACTTTGTGCCATCGCCAAAATGTCTGTGATGTAGCGATTACAAAAGTAAGCCGCTTTTGAGGTAATCGTTTTATTAATCTTGTTATAAAACAAGACATTGCACACTGGAGAGTAGACAACCCGCATTTAATATATTTTCTCATTCAAATGATATATGACCCTCACCGAGTATCAGGTATCAATGAAACACTTGCATAAGATATACATTTGTTTCAAATGTTCTGTCCTCCGAGCGATGACATCAGCACGCTTTAAACAATTGCACGTGTTTGTATTAACAGCTACATGGAGCATAACATGCAATATCTGCCAAACAAAATTAACTTCAAACAAGAAATTGACGTCGATTTCCGACAGAACTGTAGAACATCGTTATACTTCCGGTGTGCCAGGTCATTCAGGTCACAGTGCGGCAGATGACAAAAAGTAACGGTTAGCTTATCAACACAAAAAGTATTCTTTATTCAGCATGTTTCCGTTTTTAAACTGAAATGATGCGGAAATCTTACTAGAATTGCATGACAAGGCATGTGACATCGTATTTCATTTCTTCCAGCTGGCGGATTACTCCGTCGATAAAACCTTTGTATAATACAGCTTAATTAGGTAGTATAGAACATCACAGACATACCCAACAAATAAACAAAATTCACTGCAGTGACGCCAAATATTTACATCGGGGTTAAAGATCGTGATTGACGTGAGACTGGTAGGAATCTACAGTAACTTGACATTCATTCCTAAAGGCTCGTACTCTTTTCCTAGAAATATTCACACATCTGAATGACTTCCTGATTTAGATCAGAATGCGCTAGTATCAATTTGTGCCAGTCCAATGCTGCGGAGTACATACAAGTATAGAGTTCTTTATACAAGCAACGGACGTGATTTTTTCATTCGAATGAGCCTATCCAACAAACAGGATACACGTATATAGCTCAGTGTTGCACCTGGGTTGATTGTCTAGTCACACAAACTAAAAGTGAATTGACGACATCAAGTTTTTCCCTATATTGAACTTTTGTAGTAAAGCTGACCTTCGCGGTCGTTAAACTGTGTGGACCACAAACTCTGCTATGTTGACAAGTTCCATACACCATGACCGCCCTGTCGTACACCCCCACATCACAGAAACGTATCCCATCAACACACTACACACACTTTAATGTTCTCCTGGTTTCCTTTCAAAACCTGTATTTAGATTATATTTAGCTGAAGAGCAATTAAAAATCCTCATTGAAATGGTTCCTCGCTGATTGAAACTTCGAGCGCATGTGAAAAAAGCCCCCTCACCATGAAGTTCCGGTAACTTTTTCGTTATCTGGTTGAAAGGATCAGTCCGATGCACGGTGTCTTTGTGGAGATGGTAAGTATATATGTGGAGAGTAGCAGGCTCCGACATTGTTGTGTTAATAACGATACGTCAAACAAAACCAAATTTAAGACGTTGTTTTTTTGAAAATGTCAATTCATGAAGAGGACAATTGCGTCTACATCACAACGAATCACATTCTGTTTGGCTCACATTCTTGTAAATCTTGTTGAACCGGCTTTTGTTTTAATGATCATAGTGATAGTAATTATGCGTATATGGCCAGGTTATAAATAACGTATACATGTGTAATAACACTATTGTAACGTCATAAATAAATCACGTTTTGCTGACGTCACATGATTGCTGTACTAATGTAAACGTTTATGTGTATTTTTCAGAAATACGGGTTATATGATAAATATAACATTACGCTCATGCTTAAAGGCTTATGACATATGAAAATAGTGAACTCGTTTTCATGATTTTAAAGACATCCACCCTATCATTTTTATCATTATTATTATAATGACCTTTTTAACAGCCCGTCAACACATAAAAGGTAATTAGGGCCTTCAATCGGTAAAAACCACAGCGATCCAAAACAAAATAGCATCAAACAAACTAAAAGGTAAAAGGCAAATGCTAGAATTCTTAAATGGGTATATTAACACACAAGATTAAAATAGCACGTCACAGTCTATCATATAGACCAACATATTTCAGGTAACCTAGAATTTTACAAATCTCAACAGTCTCAAAAAGGGTTTTTAGACATGTAATGTTACGATAAAACATTCTCCGGTAGAAAAAATGTCACTGCAGTCCAATAAAGAATGTTTAACAGTAAATGGCTCATCACATCCTATGCACCGAGGATTATCTTCACCTTTCAGCATATACGAATGCGTGAGGTATGTATGGCCCATCCGAAGACGGGCAATGACAACTTCGTCTCGGTGCTTGTCTCTATAGCATGCAGACCATTCACCTATGATAGGTTATAAGGAGTGCAATTTATTATTGGTATATTGATTCCAATCCTCCTGCCACTGAGCTGTTTAATGTACATGTGTGATCCTCTAATCAACGTCGTTACATTACAATTAAGGGTCCACTATTTAATTTATGGGTTATGGGTTAGAGGTTAGTGTTATTGACTGGCCGCATTTTTACCGATGTTTTATTTAAATCATAAAAATTTTAGCAGAATATCAATATACTTGTTTTGAGACAATCTTTAATTGAAAAAAATATGCAGGTTTAATGGACTGTCATAACCAAGGTATTAATACTGAGAGTACCAGGACTACCACAGCTCGGTCGGTTAGAACGTCCACCCATATAACATCAAGTAAAAAACCGAGGTGCTTTGTTCAATTTGTTGGAAGTTTGCGTTTCTTGGGAAGTTTTGTCATGGTTGTGTCTTTGCACACTTTACCCTCATTGCTGTGTGAGGCATGTGACGGGCCTCTTACATGTTGTTCAGTGAGGTAGCCAACAGGTACAACAAACCTAAATGACTGTTAACAAGCTGATAAACACAGCAAAAGTAAAAACAAAACAAAACATTGATTTTTTTTATAAACAATGACTATAGTTGGAACAGCATAACGATAAAAATACACCTACAATTGATTTACACACAGTAAAGAATTTGTTATTCGCTCTGCGGAACAGGCTTCTGGATCTATGAATTGTCTATAACCATACATTTTAGGGTGGTTTGCCTTTCCATCTGTTGGTATTGACTGGGTGGCTGACTTTAGGGAGTGCCATGATAGCAGAAATCCCCCTTCCCGACAGCCTTGATAACTGCTTCCGGTCGTTTGCAAGGCAGACATCCGTCTCACAAACCGTTGGTCAGGCGATTGGCTACCATTGTACCCAGCAGTATATGTGGCGACAGGCCGGGGTTAATAACTGGCTGAGATCAAATATCACCAGAGAGGAGTATGAATGGTTCTCCAGGTATGTAAACAATTTACCTATGAATTGTTTTGAATTTAAGGTAATAGTACACAGTTTCTCGGTGTGGCCATAGTACACAGTTTCTCGGTGTGACCATGGGTGATGTTTTTGTTCATTAGATTACCCCATATTAAAGGTTTGAATTAAAAATTTAAAACATGAATCCTTGTCATGTTGAAGTGCACAAAGGAGGGCTTCATTTTCTCAGAATAAAATGTTTTAGCTTTGTGTTGGAGATTACTATTTGGGCAGTCTCGAATCTGTGTCTACGCACCAAAACCCAGCTTTACAGGAAGTGGGATTTTCATAATGTTTACATATGGTTATGTTGTTAAGGCTTTCTAAGCTGGAATTTGCTGAAACGTAAGTAGTTTGTTACCATGACAGTGTTGTTGATTTTAAGACAGGTTTTCAGAAATAAATTTCTTCTATAAAGTTGTAGTGTTAGATTGGAATTATCAGTACTTTGTATTTTTTAGCATTTTTTGGTAACCATGACAACCACATGTCAAAAATCACAGGAAATTTTTGATTCATACAATTTTTATCTCTCTTTTATTAATGTAATTGCTATGTAGTTTACAAATATATTTACATGTAATGATGTATTTTTCATAACCAAACTGCTATACATGTTTATCTCAAACATGACCAATAATTTCAGGAAAATCCTAATTAACTGTTTCCTGCTACCTAAGACGTTCACCAGGAGTTATTGTGATTTCGGAGGAGTTATTTCCCTTAGTTGATTCTCGTGCCAGAGATGAGATTTTATTCTCATTAATATACCTCAAGATTTCGAAGTTGTTGGGCATATTCCTTTCTTTTCTCTGTTTTTGCTCATAATGATAAGAAATTTGAACATTCTTTGGCAGAAATAGCGATGACAATCTTTATTCACAAAATCCTAGATGGTCGCGTAGAAGCCATTTTGTTTCTTTTCTGATCAGTTTCAAAATCAAATCGGCTCAACATGGGACCAAGAGGCCCCACGCATACAAATTCAGAAAGATCTATGCAGTAGTTTTCAAGAAATGGCGATAACAAACTTTCAAAGTCAAAATTCAAAATTGCCGCCTGTCGGCCATTTCGTGTTTTGATCAGTCACAAAATCAAACGAGCAGAACAAGGGACCAAGGGAAGCCTACAAATGAAATTTGAGAAAGACTCATTCAAAATTTCTCAAGAAATTCTCAAGAAATAATGATAACAAGAATTGTTTACTGACAAACGGACGACGGATCACAGAGATGTGATTTGAATAATCCAACATCTGATGATGTCATGATAATGGTACAAAAAACCGTTAATAAGGTTAAAATCCACCCCTGTATAAAGTTATCTTGCCAAAAGCAGTAGCATAACGGGACAGGACAGCGATGAGATCGTTCAACTGGTCAAAACTCAAAAAAGAGTTCCTAGTTGTGAATACTGTTATTGGCAAGCTGGTTAGAGATACGCGGAACGTCTAGAAGTAAACCCATGGTCGTGTGATACGTATCTCACACTTCTCCGAGTTGTGTGACAGAAGACTGTATGTTCTCTGTATCCACAAATAAGAAGGAGCGTCTTTTCAGAAACGAACCAATCAGAGATTTTGGCACATTGATAATATCTTAAAGATGGCTGGCCTAAAGAGAAGCGAAAGTTTGTGAGTTATACCAAACATTTGCATGTGGCATACGTGTAGTATTTAGAAGTGTGTGATGTTATAATTTTATTGTTTACTTCAACGTATTGAAGACGATATAGTTGACAATGATAATAATAGTCACGGTACGTAACCGTACGCAAAAATCGTACCAGCGATATGCAGAATCTGTATTCCGCAGTATTTCTAATTTGATTCAAAAACATATTTGATTTATCTTATTAAAACAATTCTGTAATTCTCAACAATATTGAATGTATTAATTTTTGTTCTGATTTTAGCTTGCTGTATCTCTCAAATCGTAGTAAACGCTACGCAAAGAAAGCGGAGATACGTGTGCGAAAGGAAATCCGGGCATTGACAGAAAGCGAGCGGAACGATTACCATAGGGCTGTCCAACTCCTCAAGTCAGATACGGTAGGTATGTCTCTGGTCACACCCTGCAATGACGTGCCAGTGTAACAGAACTCTTTAGGGCTGTACCCCGATTTGCCCACTATTTGAAATAGCATGGGCAGTAGAATGTAGTGATAAGGATTATAGTCTATTTCATATTAATTTACCTGTGTTTTTACCTGTATTTTACCTATGGTCACCTGTGCCATCTAGCCAATTAAATGATAGTTATTTCATTGAGTTTTTAAAAATATATCAAATAAAAAGCATTGCATTTTATTTCTTTATGTTGATATATATGTCACTGAAAATTTGATCAAATTAAAGACTTTTTTTCTTAAATATATAAATTTCAATTTATTTTAATTCATTGTCATTTACTAGAGGAGGTTAAAATTCACTAGAATATTACATTATATCAGAATTAAAGTTTTACATTTTTGATAAATTTGTCTGACTTGAATATATATATAAAGGGCCCCATATTAAGTAAATTGATAATGATGATGGAATAGTTTAGGATGTTAATCCTTATGTATAATTAAACAAAATATCCATTGGTATTAATTGTATTCATTTTTTATTATACCTATACAAATCATTTTATGTTTTCTAAATGTAAGTATACTTATATTATTTAATTACCCAAGCCATCGACCTCAACAATTATAAGATGACCTCAGAAGTGGTGACGATAGTTCTGTTACCAGATAGTGAACACTGTTTTATGTACTCACATAATCATTCTAATAATGCAAGCAGATGATGGGCAGGTATCCCAGGCCACCATGATTATTTATATGTGGGGGAAATCAGACATCATCATTATCAAACTGTGTAGTTCATGCAGTTACACAGCTGATACATTATCCGGAATTTTCTCTGAGATTGTTTTCCCTACAACTTCGAGACATCTACCCACAACTACTGACTTCGAGATAACTACCCACAACTACCCACTTCGAGACATCTACCCACAACTACCAACTTCGAGACAACTACCCACAACTACCCACTTCGAGACATCTACCCACAACTACCCACTTCGAGATATCTACCCACAACTACCCACTTCGAGACATCTACCCACAACTACCCACTTCGGAACATCTACCCACAACGAGACATCTACCCACAACTACCCACTTCGGGACATCTACCCACAACGAGACATCTACCCACAACTACCCACTTCGGGACATCTACCCACAACGAGACATCTACCCACAACTACCCACTTCGGAACATCTACCCACAACGAGACATCTACCCACAACTACCCACTTCGGGACATTTACCCACAACGAGACATCTACCCACAACTACCCACTTCGGGACATCTACCCACAACGAGACATCTACCCACAACTACCCACTTCTACTTTTTGTTTAACAGTATTTATATGTATAAGAAATGATAAACTTTCTGCTTTGCATGTTTAATTTTATATATATGTATGTAATATGTAAGAAATGATAAACTTTCTGCTTTTGCTATCTAATATGATGTGTGTAATAAAATAAATAAAACAAAATAAAATAAAACATAACCAAAAGTGTAGACTACAGGTAGAATCTCAGGTAATAGCTCACACAGGTAAAAACACAGGTAAATGAACTCAGGTGAAATCTATAGTTAATCTGAAACTGAAATTGGTTTTCTATTGTCTTCCTAAAACAACACCTTTCTTTGTTTAAAAAAGTGGGCAAATCGGGAACACATTTTTCTTTTACCTTCGAATCAAGAGCTGATTACATTGATTTATTTTACATCTATTTTACAGAGTATTTACCCAAACAAGTATGACTCGTTCGCTAACCTTCACACCGGTTTGACAACCACTGCATCTCATGGGGGTCCCAACTTCCTCGGCTGGCACAGGGTCTACCTTCTCATGTAAGTAATATGACGTCATAATGCCTATATTTTGTAATATTCTGTGTCCTTATCATTGTTTTATCTTACATGTTATGTTGATTACTGTTTGATACTGTTTGTTTTATTTGATTTGTTTGTTATATGAAATGTTGATAAGAAATCGTATTATCGGTATTTATAAATGTAGTCGTAGCGGTTGTCTGTTAGCGTTACCTTGCGCTGTTCTCCACGTCCTTCTTTAAACAGATTTCGATGTCTAGGTTTGCGGTAAAAAAAACACTGGTTGGCTGCTATCTTTAATTTTTGTTATCTGAATCCATGAAATGTTATTTCGGCAACAGCGATATTGAACGTGTCCATGAGCTGAATGTCTCAACTACAAAAATGCGAGACAAACAGCAAGTTAAAAATCTCAATTATTTTTATCTATAAGGGTACATACAATATGAAATGACGCCTGTATAGGTTTTTAGAACTTTAGAACAATGAATATACAAATGTACTTTTTTACATCTGATTTATTTCCTAGGTTTGAGAACGCGTTACGACAGAAGGTTCCGACTGTGACTATCCCATACTGGGCTTCTTCCATGGATTCAAAGTTGCGGGACCCTACACAATCTGGAATCTGGAGTGAGCGTTTCTTCGGGAATGGGAACGGATTGGTGAGAACAGGTCCGTACGCGGATTGGATGACAAGATCTGGTCCTCTCATTCGGAACATTGGTGAATCGGGAGGCTATCTCTTTAGTGACGAAGGAATACAAAACATCCTGAGGGAAACACGAACCGCCGCCATCACCGAACCACAAGCGGCCCCGAACAATAACCTGGAATTCCTCCATGGGCGTATCCATGACTACATCGACGGTCAAATGTCGATGTTAGCGACATCATCTCAGGATCCTGTGTTTTTTGCACATCATGCTTACGTTGATTTTATATGGGAGGTATTCCGAAGGAAGCAAAAGCGCTTAGGGATTGATCCGCAAATGGATTACCCGGATGTTGTCAATCATACTTTACACACCGCAACAGCTCCGCTAGGTTTCGGCAATCTTCGGAATATCGACAGCTACAGTAATTTACTTATTGATGGTATATATGATTATGCCCCCGTGCCGTACTGTTCGTTAGATCATAGGGACTGTGGATCGCCCTACCTCCGCTGTGAGGTGAACAACACACAGACTTCCTGTGTAGCTGAAACTGGGGACGTCATACCCCGAAGTTCGGACCCTAGCGGCAACCAATCCTCACGGGTTCTCGCGAACTCTAACTCCAAAAATAGAGATAACGCTCAGTGGACCACACACGACAGGACAACAAGTAATGATGGTCAGCAGCAGCAGCAGCAGCAGCAACAACAACAGCAGCAACAACAACAGCAACAACAGCAACAACAACAATCAAATTTTGTGGGAAGATTTCAGCCCATGATTCACCCCAATTTCCTGGGACGACGTAAACGTTCGCTCCTCACCGGACCTCTTTCTCCGGCACGTGCAATGCTATTTTCCAATACAGGTATGCCGTTAGGAAGGATGAGTACAGGACAAACCAACAGAGTGTATACCCGACAACAAGTGCCCGGTATGGTCGGGGGTACCACTTTAGAATCAAATATGGATTTCGAGAGTAGATTTTTCGGAGGTATGGACCCATCCCTGCTGACTCCGTTACAGGATGGCACCTCTAACGTCACGAGCAACCAACAAGGGCAGGCAACTGCGTCAGACAAGATGCAAGGCACTGCTCAATGTCCAGCTATTCCCATAAATCAGGGATATCAAAACACGTACAATTTAAATGGAAGAGCCGATATTCGTCAATGGGTGTACTTGCCGGTAAAAATAATATCACGGCGACCGCCAAATTTTCGTACCTATCGATCTTTCCCTGTAATGGACGGGCGTATTTCTGAAGAATCCGACATCTATTCTCCATTAGGCTACGCTAAATTGAAAGAGCGTTTTGTGTTCGGAAAACTGGCTACAAATCCGACGTGTCATAATGGAAACACAGATTCTGGAAAAGTGTTTGTCCAGTCAAACGGAATCAACTATTTGGGAACTTATAAGGAATACGCAATCGTTGACAAGAGGTTAGCCATCTCCATAGCAACAGCCTTTGTAGCTGTTAAGAGTCCCTCGGAAGGGGCAACTGATGTCATACTATCGGCGTTTGATTCTTGTGGTAGAATATGTATGCCTTTCTGTCGTATCCCAGAGTCGAACGAGGGTAATACACGTCCTTGCTCCGGGGCCATCCGGGTAACATCAGCACACCCAAAGCTGTACGGCCTTGACTACGGGGAGGCCGTCCTGGGAACATGGTCCATGACAGGAGGCGGAGGCTGTCCTACTCTCGACAACAATCACGTTTTTGTGTCTTTCTACTGCGATTATGTAGAAACATGGCCCTTTGTTGGAACGGAGGCACCAAATAGTAGTGCTGGTGGTGAATCGGCTTTGTCACTAACCCCACATGTTAATACTAGTCCTATGGTGAATAACGAAGAGCGAAACACTAACGTCGGTGAGTATTGATGATAGTACTGTTAATCACTTCATTTTTCGCGATGGATTAAATTTTGTGAAAAGAGAAAAAATCGAATTCTAATACATCACAAATATTTGTAAGAAAATAATTCTGAATGGCATCCGTGTGGATTCCGTTACCGATATCGGAGTCCTGCATAATCCAGATATTTAATAGCTCATCATTCACGTATTTAAAGTAATTTCTAGGTCAACGTCAACGAAATAATGTAATCGCAAATATGTCTGAAGAGGTAAATTCGCGAAATAAAGTGTGCACAAAATCGGAGTGCTTTACAGTATCACGATCAAGAACTTGGATAACATTTGACGACGTCTTCATTTTGAAGGTCTAGCCTTCTAGTTCCTGACTTCGTTTTCTTAGAGTTATATAGAAACATCACAGATGACTTTCACCTGACTGACATCCACAGGCAGAAAAGGAAATAAGTGAGAAAAAAGAAGTATTTGTCAACATTTCACTTTATCAACCCATATTTACTTTTTCATGTTTCAGCTTGTCATATTGGTCAGGGCTGCGTGGTTAATGATTTCTGCCGTCCGTGTATTGATGGCACCGTGCGCATGTGCCGGGGAACGTGCTCATCTTATGCTCAATGCCGAGATGGCGTATACCTCGTCCAAACGTGTAGGAATGGACAGATGTTTCACTTCCCGTCCCAAAGATGCATCCCAGGATTAAGAGAGTGTCAAGAAAGGGACGCAACTTCTGGAATTCAACACATTCAGCAGTTCCAAAATCTCCAATCGATGAGAATTAATAGTGATTCGGATTAGTGAATTTGACAGGAACGTATCGTTATATAATTATGTCAATATGTATATAATGTAAATTCTATATTACTTTTTTCCCCTTAACATCAACTGAAAATCGATATTGATATTTCGTTTTCAATAAAGAATCTTAACACGAAGGTCCCTGAAGTAACAACACTGTTTACTACTGACGAAGTATCATTAGTGAATCTCAACTCTCATTATCATATGCTGTAAGTTCCAACATTTCTATACCACGTGTGGTCGGGAGTCCGAATTTCAGGGAGGACTTTTTCAAAAAAAAATAAAAATAAAAAAAAATTTTCAGCGAAAAGTCTAATGTCTACCGCATTTTTCATAAGATTATTTTCTGATCTAATTCCTGATTGGTGGATGGCCAACTCGTCGTTAGGACAACTATTCTTTCATGGTGAGGCAGAAGACTGAACCTCAACACTGTAGAAATTTATGATAACGACATGCGCAATCTAATTAAAATACAGATACAAAATGTCGTTCTGCAATAATCGGTATTAGGATCTGACAACATCCTATCAGCAGCCATGTTGTGGTGAATTTTTCTATAATTCAATTAAATTACTGCTTACCGAATCATGAAAGTGAATGAAGGTGGGAGAAATTGCATGCATAATCCATTTGTCGTTTCGCTTCAACATGTCTCGAATAGCGAAATCATATTGTTAGCTTTTTCACAGTACTGCAGTTAGGGAGTGAGAAATAAAATCTGGGTTTTTCGTCAGATTGACCTACATGTTGTGATAAAATGTCTAGATGCAGCCGGCTATTGGACCTATTCACTTTGGTTGAATTTCAAGGGGTGCAAAAGTCAATAAGAACATGATCCCTTATGGATGTTGTCAGATCCAGTAACGGAACGGGGTATAGGATCTGCATTTAAATCAGATTGAGACATGCTCAAATTTGTCACGAAAATGCAGAGTACGATTAAGTTTTCTCGCTTTCATGTGCGTTTGTCGGTATTGTCAGAATGACGAAAAATAACGATAACAGGGTAGATGACACGCTCCATTCATGGATTGTAATGTTACAACTTAATTTATCCTGCTTAGTTTTATTCATATACTTTCGAATAGAACATGACAATTGGTTTGTCTTGATTTTAAAACCAAAATTTATTATCTAATTTTCAGTATATGCACAAAAGCAGATGATCACCTAGTTTAAAGAGTTTTGAATGAAGGTTGAGGTCAAATTTTAGTACGAACCAACCTTTATGAAAATTTGTCACAATTATGGTCTGAATGGCAAGGGGCCCATATGTCAGTACAAATCAAGCACAATTCATTACAAATGACATGCTCAATAAAACGTTCTTTTTTTACAAGAAGTTAAGAAAAGGGGACAGGGGACAGCGAAATGAAAACGTTACTTTCAAGATGGCTGCTACACTGGCCAATTCGAATGAAATGAAGTTAAATGCCAAAGAATCTAATGCATAACACTTGCTCTTGATAACCCTCTTAAAACCCAGTTAGTTGTAAAATAGGACCATTTGCATTTGTAAATCGAAATTAATGATGTCTTCAATGCTGTATATTGGTCAGCAAGTTTGTTTTAAACATTTTAATACTATTATTAACTAGGTATTCTAAATCTTGTACCAGTGAATTATCAAGTTCACAAGTTCCTCTTTTAAATTCATGTATTGTCATAGATATATTGGGAAAGCAATGGTGTGTTCTATAACTAGGATCTACATCTGAAGGGTCCATACTAGACAATAGATTTTCTGAAACAAGAAAGTAATCTTATCGTGAATTGTTAGCAGGGTTTTCGTCCTGTAGTTATATCTCCTAACGTGTTCATGCTTGTCCTCTAAGATATCAAGACCAGCGCTCAATAATAACAAAAACCTTTCGAATTATGAACGTTTTTATAAAAACTGCCATAATGAATTTCTGCTTCTAAAACAAGGTTATAATCAGACAATAATGTAGGCACTATCAAATATATCTACTACATCAGAGATCTTATCATAACAATCTAGATTATCTTGGTTGGGACGTAAATCTTAGTAAACGTTACATGTTTACTATTGACATTAATGGGTAGTGCTAGAAAGTTCTCAGTAGCCTCCTTATCAAGATACATCATCAGAATTTTAGGTTGAGAAGTAAGTCATCTCTCCATTCATTTCTTACCAGTTCTTTGGTATCTTAAATAGACATTGTAATAACCAAAACCCCCTCCCCAAACACGCCGACATACCTTACTGTCACCCGCCGACATACCATACATACCAAACTATCACCCCGACATACCATACTGTCACCCAGACATACCATACTGTCACGCGCCGACATACCATACTGTCACCCCCGATATACCATACTGTCACGCGCCGACATACCATACTGCCACCCACGACATACAATACTGTCACCTCCGAGATATCATACTGTCACGCGCCGACATACCATACTGTCACCCCGAGATACCATACTATCACCCCCGACATACCATATTGTCACCCCCGACATACCATACTGTCACGTGCCGACATAACATACTGCCACCCCCGACATACCATACTGTCAACCGCCGACATACCATACATACCATACTGTCACCCCCGCCACACCATACTGCCTCCTGCCGACATACCATACTGTCACGCGCCGACATACCATACTGTCACTCGCTGATATTCCATACTGTCACCAATTGACATGCCATACAATTACCCGCTGACATAGCATACTCCCCCTGGCATACCATTCTATCATCTGCCGACATAATCTACTGTCACCTGTCGACATACCACACTGTCACTCGTCTACGTACCATACTATCACCCCCGACATTCCATACTATCTACCGCCGACATACCATACTATCATCCCCCCATATACCTTACTGTCATTTGCCGACATACCATACTGTCATCCGCCGACATACCATAATGTCTCCCGACGATATACGATATTATCAACCGCCTTCATAACATACTGTCACCCGCCGACATACCATACTGTCACCCATTGACATACCATACGATTACCCGCTGACATGCCATACTCCCCCTGACATACTATACTATCACCCGCCGTCATACCATACTGTCATCCGCCGACATACCATAATGTCTCCCGACGATATACGATATTATCAACCGCCTTCATAACATACTGTCACCCGCCGACATACCATACTGTCACCCATTGACATACCATACGATTACCCGCTGACATGCCATACTCCCCCTGACATACTATACTATCACCCGCCGTCATACCATACTGTCATCCGCTGACATACCATACTATCACCCACAGTTATATCATACTATCACCATCCGATATACCATACTATCACCCCCGACATACCATACTACCACCCGCCTATATACCATGTCACTCGCCGACATACCATAATGTCACTCGCCGACAAACCATACTATCATCCGCTGACATAGCATACTCCCTCCCCTCCGACATACCATACTGTCACCCGCCGACAAACCATACTATCCTCCGCCGACATACCATACTATCACCCGCCTACATACCATGTCACTCGCCGACATACCATAATGTCACTCGCAAACAAACCATACTATCATCCGCTGACATAGCATACTCCCCACCTCCGACATATAATACTGTCACCGCCGACAAACCATACTATCATCCGCTGACATAGCATACTCCCTCCCCTCCGACATACCATACTGTCACCCGCCGACAAACCATACTATCCTCCTCCGACATACCAAACTATCACCCGCCTACATACCATGTCACTTGCCGACATACCTACTGTCACCCGCCGACAAACCATACTATCACCCGCTGACATAGCATACTGCCCCCCCTCCGACATACCATACTGTCACTGCCGACAAACCATACTATCACCCGCTGACATAGCATACTCCCCACCTCCGACATACCATACTGTCACCGCCGACATACCATAATGTCACTCGCCGACATACCATACTCCCCCCCACCTCCGACATACCATACTGTCACCCGCCGACAAACCATACTATCCTCCGCCGACATACCATACTATCACCCGCCTACATACCATGTCACTCGCCGACATACCATAATGTCACTCGCCGACAAACCATACTGTCACATACGCACGACAAACCATACTATCACCCGCTGACATAGCATACTCCCCACTCCGACATACCATACTGTCACCGCCGACAAACCATACTATCATCAACAGTTATATCATACTATCACCCGCCGATATACCATACTATCACCCCCCGACATACCATACTATCCTCCGCCGACATACCATACTACCACCCGCCTACATACCATGTCACTCGCCGACATACCATAATGTCACTCGCCGACAAACCATACTATCATCCGCTGACATAGCATACTCCCTCCCTCCGACATACCATACTGTCACCCGCCGACAAACCATACTATCCTCCGCCGACATACCATACTATCACCCGCCTACATACCATGTCACTCGCCGACATACCATAATGTCACTCGCCGACAAACCATACTCCCCCCTCCGACATACCATACTGTCACCCGCCGACAAACCATACCATCCTCCGCCGACATACCAAACTATCACCCGCCTACATACCATGTCACTCGCCGACATACCATACTGTCACCGCCGACAAACCATACTATCACCCGCTGACATAGCATACTCCCCACTCCGACATACCATACTGTCACCGCCGACAAACCATACTATCATCAACAGTTATATCATACTATCACCCTCCGACATACCATACTATCACCCCCCCCCCCCGACAAACCATACTATCACCCGCTGACATAGCATACTCCCCCCCACCTCCGACATACCATACTGTCACCCGCCGACAAACCATACTATCCTCCGCCGACATACCATACCATCACCCGCCTACATACCATGTCA